CTCAAGTACGCATCATCTTGTTTCAATGAATCTGGGTAAGACAATGCGACGATCTAATTAATTTTGGGGGTATATACATCCAGCTTTCCACAGTTTTTTTTAAAGATTAAACATCACATAATAATGACACCTGGTACATGTGTACCCTGAAACAATACACAGACCTAGATTTATGCATAATAATTGCTTAACTTGCGTAATAATTCATTTGGGTCATTGGGGTAAACCAGGGACATGATTAGTATTATAAACTTCAATAACGTGGATTACATTGTTTTCCCAATTAGCAGACAAATATTAGTTGCCAATTTTTAACTAATTTTGATGTGTCTCTCAGCACACAGGATTGAAACATAGCTACAGGTCACCTTGACCCCATGCTTTCTCCCAGTACGTGGCCAGCTGACTGAAACTATGTCGCAATCCCAACTTAGTTACGACGCACAAAACCTACGTCTAAATTGTATAAATTAAAATAAATTGTATGTAGCCAGTACCACTCCAGACTATTTTTTTTTATTCATAGACCAATTCAAATACACTACACACACTAGGCTAGATATTTCATACAAACATCAATTACAAGAATACTTCATACATCAAATGTACATGCTTCAAAGGATTACCAAATGACTGTCATTAAGACATTAGTGACACAAAATGAACAGAAAAGTTTACGTTTGTATATGCTGGTATCAATTGTGTATATTCACCATGAATTTAATGGATGGAAACGTCACAGTTCACAACGCATATATCCTTATTACATATATTAATCTAAACATTATTGGGATAATTATTTTAATATTCAATTTCAATGTCACTAATACTTTCTGCTGACAGCATGGTAACATTGCTATGTTTGATATACCAATAAGAACAAAAGGGTTAACGGGTGGTAGTCGTCGCGCTGCGCATGTGCGATATTTGTGTTGATAAACATTGATTTTCCCATAATTCAATGCGCTCTTCTAATTGAAATCACAAGTTTGAGGTTCGACCTGGGCGCGACTAGCACTAATTATCGCTTGTGATACCTTCTAAACACCTAATAAAATACCCAATTAAAGCTTGGTGACGTCTCAGTTTATACTCGTTGATCTGCGCAACGCAGTCGCCATCTTTGTTTATATGATACCCATATATCTCGCGCATACAATTGTTTTAATGAAGTTTCTGAAACGTGGAATCTTGTGGAGTCATGAAAGACCCAACAACAGCCTCGGCATGTAACACTTTTAAAGATATCAAACAATATCGCTACCTCTGACAGCATTTAATATTCTAGTGGATGTAATGCAAGAAAAAAATCCAATAAATAAACACAACAATCGAAAGCAGTCGAAAATACATAAGTAATGTTTTAAAAGGTTGACAATAGGTTTCGAAACAGCGCCACAGTATGATAGGTCACCAATAATTCAGGCCCTGTACAATGACGGCTTTCAATATTACTACAACAATCTGTGTTAGCGAAATCAATTCGAGTACAAAATACGACCCTGCAATTCCCAAAATGCAGATCATACACACATACAAATACAGTGTTCACACTTATACAATGTGCGTTGCGTTGTTCCATATAGCCTTGTCACCATCCAATTAATATTACACAGCTCATAATGATTTTAAAAATAACGATTATATCAAGCTGTATCTACTGACCATTAAACAAAGCAACGCTAGTGAGTTCACTTTACATAATGGGGAAGCGGTGAGTGCAAAGTCGCACAAACTCTTGGCCTTCCACTTATAATCAATTAGTCAATGACAATGGCAGATCGCAACTGATTATTCTTTAGAGAATTATGTGAACGGAACTGACAAATACAGGGCATACGTATCAATGTCAATGCGTCACATGTCATGCCGAGATCAGATTGCAGTTACGTGTGTTTTTTTTGTTTTTTGTTTTTTGCGTAGCTAACTCTGCGGGTTAGCTCTCTATCGTTGTTTTCCTGCGAATAGGCCCGGGCGAATAGGGACCCACTCCATCGTTCAATACATATATAGCATCTTTATTACACATGAATCTGAGAACCCTGCTCTATACTACCCTGTATCGGCCTGAAAACGGGGGTTTTGAAGCAGCAGGCGTCGATAATTCTGCGTAATGATTGACCAATTCCCTTCTCAGTTTATTCGTGGACACGTCTGCCACATCTGATGGTCAATGGTTGATTCTAGATTTAACCAAATCAACGCTTACGCAAACTTTGCTACTATCTACACTCCATCAACCATTTATTAGCATACATGTACATATTGATCAACTAATGACCTCACCATAGATGTTGTGTAGACTGTATCAATGAATTGAATATAAATACATGACACCGTCTTTCTTGTTCATCTTTGTTATGTCAAGTTTAATGCTTTGCTGTTTTTGAACTACTCAAGCTGGCTACTTCATTCCAATTCACAATACTGAAAACCGGTCTTTATGCTTGTTTACTTCTTGCAGAGGCGACGGCAAGACATTGTGCATGGGGGCGAGATCTTCTTACAATCCCTCTCGCCGAAGGCGCGACCTTACAGGGGATCTGGGCATGTTCCCCTGGAAATATTTTGAAAACTAGACCCTCTGAAAAGCTATTTCCTGCATTTTGAGAGGCAAATTTTGCTGACATACATGACATAACGCAAAGGGTTTCAGCTTGATTTTTGGAGGGCGACGCCCCCTAACATTGTTTTCGAGGAGGCCACCCCCGCCCGTGCCGTCGCTACTGTCATGTGTATGTGTGTTACACTTGTACTACAAATGGGTAAAATTGCATTACTTATATTACCTCGTGATTCAAATTCGAATTCCTGATGTCCCTCACTGGAGAAATAGCATATTAGGTAGTGGAGTGCCCCGGCGAGGATAATAGTTCGCTGCCTTGATTAATTAAGTGGTGCACAGAGTCGCATGCTTTATCAAAGCGGCTTAATTGATATATATATGTCAACGTATGTGGTTCGTATCTAATAGAATAATCAGTAACAACTGATCAATTGCTTTCAGCGTATTACGAAGAATTTACAATAAGGTACCATTTAATCCGTATATAAGTCGTTTTATAATCCGGAAACTGGCCTAGATGCACTCAACCATGATATCAATGAATGTCAATGAATGAGCCCATCGCCTCGATTTTACTTCTATTAGAACTGGTTACTGTATATGACACTGTAGACATTGATAGACTAAGTGTTAATTATTAGTTGACAAATTACGAATCACTTTAAATCTACTACTCGCAGCATGTTTCATGTAATGTTTTTTACAGATGTGTTTTTTGAAGAAACAAAATCCCAAATTGATCGGTATGATCGCTCATACTATCTTTAAATTGATGATATAGTTTCCCGCGTATTTGTCAAACCAAACTCAGCCCTTGATCTATGGCGCTGTGAAAGACACGATTCAAAGTATATCTTAACTCACTTATAATGTAGTGAAATTCCTGCGTACGGAAAATCAAATTTAAATTATTGCTAGTTTATGCATGCCCATTGCGTTCATTTCATCTTACGTCTTTATTTCAAGTGAATATTCTATCGTAAATCAATAATTCCGATCTATCATCACCATAATTGAAACACAGTGGCCTTCAACATCGCTTCAAATGATAATTAACATTGCGGCTCAATTATCAGGTATGTTATTCATGCAATCCGTCAGCCATTTTTCTGGGATTGAATTAGAAAACATTATTAGGTGCCGTTAACATCGCGATGTGCCCTGTGTGTATTTTCATACAACTATGTATGGTCACTGTGTCCAATTTATACCGTAATCCCCGAGGTTCTCTCGACTAAACTTAATCTCAATAGATGGTGCCCCTGGAGACCCGTACGCAACTCACGACCATCTGTTTCCACTTGCAAGGGATTTACCCCGTTTGCATATAGCGTGTATGCAATGCTTTCAGTGTTCGGTGATATTTCGGCGATGACCGTTATTTATTTGGCACTAGTGACACAGAAAATGTTTCATTGAAAATAAAAATCGGAGAAAAAGGATCGATGGTTGGACAGGTATTGCCGCTTCAACGTCTTTGATTATGTGTATCTCCGTGTAACACGTGTTCTTCAAATTGCAATAAGAGCATGGCATTATGAAAAAAAACGTACGGGGATGAATCCATTGAAGAGTTTTCCTGTCATGTCGATACTGACAATACACAATTTCAGCATGACAGTATCTTGTTGAACAAAGTATTAATGCACTTCCTCAATATTCTTCACTTCAGAATAAAACCCGTCGTATTCAGTTCATGTATAATAAAAAATGAAAATAAACACCTGCTAGGAGGTAATATATGCCTTGCTGTACCTATAGTTTATTAATTCAAAAGGATACCCTAATTATTTCACAACTTTTAACATATTTAAATACAACATATGTGATTGAACAAACACTTTTATCAAAATGTGTTCAATATTGATCATGACAAATAGACGGTGTTATCCGCCATTAGACGGTGTCATATCCGAAAGTAGTAAAACTTTAGTTAAGCTTAAAGTGACATGCTTCTTTTTAAAACTGCATAGTATTTGTGCTTATCATCTGGACTGCATTTGTTTATAAGGTATTGTAAATATCAAACCAATTTCTAAACATTTGTATATACTAACATCGTTAACGCCTGTATACTGACGGTTTGTTCTCCTCCAAAACACATGCATACCATTCATTTGTTTGTTTGTATGTAAATGGTTCAGCCAGTAATGTTCAGAAATTATAATTATGGTGAAACTTAATATAAGATGTAACATTGTAAATATATCAATGTTTGTGCATTTTGCAACGGATCTTTGCAAACCATCCCTAAAGGCAGGCTATTCAAAAGCATTTAAATTCGAACACACAATCAAAAGTAAATCCGTAAGTTCAGACGATCAAACGTTTCACAAAACAATCTCCATGAATACTCCCATAATGCAACTCTAAGATGGTGATCACCTTCCTATTAATATAGATAAAAGGAATCAATGCACATGAAACAAAATATGTTTGGCATATTCAGAATTTATTTTGTTACATTATACTTGCAGGCTTAAGGCGCAAATAAGAAGTCGGTTTATTGAAATTATAAACACAACCAATGCGAGGGCATATCATGTGAATGTCTAGCATCAACGTGTCATTTTAATAATCAGTTCCCAGTTCGCTAATGGCTTCCCAGATGTACTGGTCATAATGAGACATCTTGATATTTATGGAACATTTTGCAGTTGATTTTAAAACACACACCACTTCGACGCTCCAGTCGTCGGTTGCTATGGGTGACAGGGAATCTGATACTACCCGATGGAAAGCGTGTACAAGATTCTCCACGACAACGCTCGTCTGATCGCTGGAAATCACAGACGGAAAACTTTCACCCAGAGAACGAACAATCGATATCACGGAGGATCGTCCACTTGTATGTTGCCAAGCAACCACAAGAGTCACATTTCCGTCATCATTTTTATACTGAGACGTCTGGAAACCGTGCTCGCTCGAAGTATTGGCGAAGGAAATAACGTCATCTGAATTCAGCACATGAAATTCATCAGTGACACTGAATGATCCCTGTATTTTGATGTTGGATTGAATGCAACTTTCAACTAGAAAACAGAAAACAAATTAGTTTTTACATAATCAGTGTATTTTTGTATATATAAAGATACTTTTAATGTGTAAGGATGAATATTTCAACAAGTTCACGTCCATTGCTAACTCTGATCAAACGTTGATTGTGTCAATGAACAACGTTGATCACATTTAGACAGAATTTATTCTAATATTTTCTTGATTTTGTTATTGGTTGATTGATTGTTTCAAAACTGATATACAGACAACTTGCTTACACAAATATTACGCTTTTAACAACTATACGTCGATTCATGCCCATAACACATGATAGTAATGATAAATATACTGGCGCATGCGCATACTAAGTTTCGCTGTCAACAATTTACAACAGTGTTGGATTGTAATAAGTTTCGTTGTGAATGACGTAATCCTTTGTTAACTATTTGGAATTTTCGTAAACATTAAAGGTCGATCATCAACTTCTACTGTGATAGAGTGAAATATGAATCGTATTACTTACGTTTTGGAAGCAGTTTAAACTCCACGGGATAATGGTCGCTGACCGCGGCAGCCTGGGAAAGAATTGCAAAGTTAATTGATCATCTCTAAAACATGACCCTCTAGCGAAAAACGGTTTGTGGGTGGACACCATTACGTAACCAGGTGTATTTAAAATTTTATTTAGAATATTGCATTTTATTATTGACAGACGACCACAGATCAAAACAATATCATGAACGGCATTGCTTCCATCCATTTACGTCATAGAAGCACTCTGTCGCTAGGGGGCGCAGCTTACAGGAACGGCCTATTACGCGACATGAATGTAGTCTGATTAATTGCATTCCTTGTACGTACTATTATACTATTATGGTAGACGACGTCACAGTGAATCATGTGAAGTATTTCGCGACTAAAATCTGAGTCAAAGAACTCATGCTTACGACAAACAGTTATGTACAATCGTGTGCATTATTTTAGACAACTCACAATTTATATCCAAAAATGCAAAAATTGTGCGTCGAGCTTGGGCAACTCCGTTAGTTCATTTGTTGATTGTCACACTTTTGTATTTGAGTTCTGTATTTTTGAACATTTTTTGTCAGATTTCCGTGGTTTAATGTCGCAGATGTATATTCAGGCGTTTAGGAGTTCGGAAAGTCGCTTTTAGAAACTGCTCAGTCAATTTTAATGATTTATTTTTCTATTTGTGGTTAACATACAATATCATAATATTAAAAATAACCTAAATATATTTAAACGAGGTATATACTCTAAAATTCAACTAAATTAAATAAATTTGACGTAATTAGTCTAGGGAATTTACTGATGCCAGTTTTTGTTTTAAAAATATGTCTGATGTCCGCCGTGCCCGTAATCAACCACTAAGATATGCTTTTATCAGGGCAGAAAAACACGTGTGGTTTTATGACGTAACACACGTTCATGATATCGAAAAGTTCTATAAAAAATAATTCAGTATTAAAAAAGCAAAAATACGACGTACCTGATCGTCTGTTAAATCAAATTTCTCATCGAAGTACAGAACTCTGGAACTCTTGGGCCAAACAGCGCCCTCCAAGGTGGTCCCGCCAATTACAATTCTGCAAAACCAAACAGATTCAGTGACAAACGTGACTCATACGCCCTAAGTTGACTTCGTGTAAAGTCGTCCTTCCGGGTAAGAATTCAGATATAACTGATATAACTGCGACAATATCAAGTCAGATTTTAATTTGGAATGTGAACATTCCACAACAATACCGGCATATACCAAACTAGTCAGAGTCAGTTCAATTTTTCACAGCATAATTACATTTATAGTTCTCTACGATTTTTGATTGACTTAAATTAAAAAGTGTCTAGAAATTGCATCCTTGCGAGAAGACACAGTCAATAAACTGTATCAATATTCGATTTCAAAAATACAGATAGAAAATATCGAGTCATGTATCATCGTAGGTAGACTGGCATAGTCTGGGCGCTTTATTTGTTTTTAAATTTAAAAAAAATAGTGAAATTAAGGTGTTAACGCGAAATCCCCTGTAACCGCGAAATCAACCCAGTCTGGACTTTTTGTGCCGCGTCCTCTGTGGTGACCTTTAAACTATATCTAGTTAACCTTTGTACCTGAAGATGTCACTTTTGTTCATGTTTCTCGATCGTCAATCATAACAAACGAATTACTATTTATAACGTTCCGTACAAATTATTCTAATGGAGAGAAGTAGCCTGCGTGTAGCTTTATCTCGCCTGGGGTACAGTGAAGCGCGATCTGCACAGAAGACCCACAATGTTTACATCATTATGCAGCGCGCACACCCCACTCCGAGTCTTTTCTGTATCCGTTCAGTGATGTCACTGCATATCGTGAATAAATAATAGCAACAGATTCGCTGCAAATAAGACCAGTCTGTGCTGGTTTCGCGTTCACCCCATTCACTATTTTTTTTCCAATTTTTTTAACTGAAATAAATTACCACACCTGAGCCAGTCTACATCGTAGGTACAAATGTAAAGTTTCCCATCAGCTATCTTGCAAGGATTTTCTGAAATGTTCTTTCGATCCCAAATTACAATTTTCCGCCACGGTTGGATCTGTTACAAAAGGGTGCACATAATACTGATCCTACGTCGTCCAACCCTGGCGACGGACGGGCCGCGAAACCTACAGCTAATTAATAAAACCATATAAATGACAGTACCTGTCGTATGCGCAGAATGTACTTGCTACCGTGGTGTCCTCGCGGTCGTCAATCAACCACGTGAAACGCTTATCTGTACGTAATCGGATATAGTTCCAATCTTTTGATTTAACATAGTCACAACCAGCGTTGAAATCTCCAAGGATGATGACGTCCTGTGTACAAGGGAAAATTTACAGTATACTTCGTTTGATCGAATTACGCAAATGTACACGCGCTTTACGTTAGTGGTACGCATCAGTAATTCAAAACACGTGCGAATTTCATTTTATTACATGTACTTTATTATTTATTAATTTTAAGGAATGCTATTTTGTGCATGACCAACGAAACGAAATCAAGATGCAAAATCCAAAGATCGCTATTCACTTAATATTGCGTGTCACTCAATAATGACGGTAGCCACTAGAAATAGGAGTATGGGAGTATGGTAAAATGTCAATCACGTGACTTGTTACCTCTATATTCCATCTGCTCACGATGTCGTCATACACATCGGTGAGATAATCAATTTCTTTCACAGCGTCATCGGGCTTTGTGTGTATGGCCACCATCACGAAATCTGAAACAGCTGATACAACAAATGGTAAAATATAATAACTGTTGTCAATTGAACAGCGCCAGCATTAATTTGAAATCAGGTAAAGATGTGGGATTTCTGATCTAGGGGTACATATTTTCATGATAATACATTGACATACTGATACTCCGTTGAAGTTTACTTGCGACAGATCAAATGCGGATCATATACGCAGACGATAACTTGGGGGGAATTTACTGCCTTGAACTGTGTTTGAACCATCACGAGTATGTAGTGTGACTAGTCCAAGTTAGTTTTGTGTGTACTTATTCATGAATATTCATATGTGTCAATTGTGTAACTCTCAAATTATTACTGTCGGTATACGCAATCATGTTTTAAGTTGCCATGCACAGATTATAGATTACTAGTAGAAAGAACAGATCTATCTCACCTGTAGAGGGCGATGAGAATCGAACGATGAATGGTTCTCTTTCGAATTCGTCTGTTCCGTTCTGTTCTTCCCCGTCGTCATAGTGGTAACTCTCAGTCATATTCACCGAGTCGGTTCTGTTGAACATATTTTACAGATTTTATGTTTTCAATTATTTGCCTCGATGATGCGTCTTTCCCGGAATTCTCGTATATTATTCGTACCATCAAATATCATCACTGCGCATTCAACGCATTCAACCTTAAAGCGGGAGGGTAATCACCTGCGCACGGGCGTGAATTGAGTCCCAAGCGATGATAACAACACGCTTGTTTGTAAACAATGACAAGCTATGACCATCTGACTCATGTCCACGTGACGACTCTCGCGCTTTAACTTCGAATCTTACACACCACTTTGATGACACGTGGGATTTATTCAATTTGTATTCAAGGCTAGAGCTTTGGCGTTCAAAGGACACCCATATTCAAGACCAAAATGAACTAATAGAAATAATGTAGGGAATATCAAAAGACACGTAGACAAATTCATTGAGCTTCGGGGCAAATGCCCTCGATGCCTCTGAGGAATTCAGGATTTGTATATAATAACTCACTAAAGAACAAGATTACCTGTAGAAAAATGCATATTGTTCCTTGGAATGTGTTCTTCCTAGTCGATCACTGATTTCTATTGAGTACTTGTTATCCGACGCACGGTTAATTTCAGCCAATAACCGCAGAATGGCAGTTTCAGAACTATCCCGTATTTCCTGTATCAGTATTACGTCATTACGCAGGATAATCTACGAAACAAACGTACATAGTAATAGTTTGTACACAAATTTCGAAGCGAAACAATTGTTTATACATATCTAATAGTCACTGTAAATAACGCTGAATGTTTTGAACATGTCATAATTTTGTAATTGATATCGAATTTGGATAAACCATTTGGATAAAGTGCCGTTTTGACTGCTAATATTACAGTACTTTTTCGACGAATTAATAAACTCCAGTGCGCATGTGCTTCGAACAACCAGATCCGGGCACATGTGCATATATGCCCTTTCATTATTCCAACTACCGCATACTATTATTTCGCCAAAACAAAACTCTAATGTTTACGAATCAATCTTATTGCCTTATATTGTATTTATCAAAACGTGATCTGTAACAAAATGTACCCGCGTTAGACCGCCCTCTGCGGCGATCGGGAGGCCTGTGAAGACGCAGCCAGCTTCGAAATATAAACCACTCTTATCGATGCGTCGTGCAATCATGTGATGTGAAACGATTTAATTTTGTAGACTGTTACACTTTCACAGTGTTCATTATCCTGATTTTTAGCAGTTGATTGTAAATCATTGTTACGATACACATTTTTTTTTCGCATAGTTAGATAATTTAGTTTCCTTGGGAGTTTATAACTGTTTTCACCCCCAATCCCCCCCACCCCATCCCCATAATAATAAACTCGCCACTGAGTGGAAACAAATCTTTACCTTTTTGAGTACATCCATCACAAGAGGGTCGGACGCCTTCATCTGTCCAAAAACCTGCACGTTGAACGCGCTTAACCGCAGGTCTTTTATTTCGCTTCCTTTGGTGTGGCCCGTTGCCATATACAGTAACACCAGGACAAGGCAGCAGTGTACATGGAATCTAAAAGTATGCATTATTTCACTTCGCTGGGTCGACACTTGATGCGCTTGTACTCAAATTTGCTGGTAGCAAATTTCTGCAATTGGAAAAATACAACATTATTTTATTTAGTCGACATGATGATGCACACACAACAATAAACAGGTGAACGCACGATTGTCGAATATAAATTTGTCGGGTAGGGATTTGAAACCTAAAGCGAACACGAGTGCATAGTGTTTAACATTACTTTATTGTGTATTGTATCTCGTCAGATGCGCTATTTGAAGTATAATTTATAGAGAACAATGACTCAGTGAATACTATGGGAGCATAATATTCGTCTGTACCCATATTTAGTATATTTAAGTGATGGTGGAGGAGGCTGCAGCTGCTTTATCAAAATACGGGGTTACCCAACAGTGGCTCGTTAGTATTGAACGACAGGAACGGAATGAGGCTCTGTATAATTCGAAAAAAACATTTTTGAATAGAATTGCGAAAATATTCCCAAGATGATGTAACTCGGTATATGCCAGAAATACTGTTTGTATCAAAGTCGTTGATTTTGTTAACACACTTACTGAATCGGTTATGTTTTTGAAGAAACAACTGACGCAAACAAGACGCGACGCGAAGACTGTGGCGTTTCAAAATATAATGCAACAATGGATAGAATTGCGAAATTTTCCCCAGATCGTGTAACTCAGTATATGTCGGAAATACTGCAGCATTTGCATTGCTTTTAAAATCACTCGGTGCATTCTACACTAGGAGTTGTTAATAACTATCGTATCTGACAGTGATATGACGCTATGAAAGATGACATATAATTCAAAGTGAAATTAACAAACATAATCAATGTCAAGTTGGAAAGATGACTTTTTCATTTTTTTTCCTTTTCAGGATCTATCAATGTACCTACTAGCACTAATAGTGTATTATATAAACACATGTAGGTCATTTTCAAAAATGTATTATTTCAATATCGTGACTGAGTAGCTGCACGAAACTAACAAATATTGGCTCGGAAATGTATACAACAAAATGGCAATATATAGTTTAAAGCAGCTGGTTTTCAGGTATGGTACACAGCTGGACCATGCGAGTGAAAATGGGCCCGAAATAACAATAAATGTTGGTGCAAATGTTGCCTCGAAGGTGATTAATTCTAATGATTTGCATTTGGGGTCGGACATAGCAATACTTCGTATACAAAATCTGCTGTCGTGTATTGAGATAAAGAAATACAAACTACGTCTACTCACCCTGTAACAGTGTACGTGTCACGGCAGTCTTCGCGTTCTGCCTCAAATGATACTAATTATTGTATATGCGGTACGATGTTAGTTTACTGCGATAAGCTTTGTTTGCTGGTACGCAGTCGTCAACTATTATCAACCATTGTTAGTGCATTGAGTGTTAAATCGGTATCCAATGGAGTTATGTATCACAGTGATTGTCGAAACTGCGAATGACCCACTCTGCGTTTTCGACAACGCCAATTCATTGTATCGGCTAATCAGTGTTAATGGATTTACATTGGAAAGAATCGTGCAAATTACTTCTAAACACGCTCAGTAAATGAGATTCCCGAAAAGCGGTCTGAATGTGATAATTATGGAAAGCCGTTCGGAACCACTGCTGCCATCATTAAAACTGCTCGCGCAATGTAGCAGCGTAAATACTAGCGTGAGCCATGGTTACAACTACGGCAGCAATATCAACAACGCATTTAGTAAATATCTATTTTTGTAAACCAGTATTTATACGTTCAATGCCAAACTCGGACATAATTAACATAATACCGGACGACTCCGCAATAAGACAAACGTAACAACCAGAAATGCCATTAAATACTATAAGTATACAACTTTCAACTCAGTACCTTTCTCTATTAGGATCCCGAGCGGCTGTCCGTGGGTTCCAGTGCGATAACAATTAACTGTGGCGAAGGGTGACAAGTTGAGTGCAAAACGACATGACAGTTTTTGTCAGACGACATTGTCTGGTTCGTCTTGGTGACGCGATTATATCATACGAACGATGCAGGTGAATTATCTCGTGAAAACCGGATCAAATAATCTGTCACGGTTTGAGAGATGTATTGTTTATCAAATATATTGGCTATTCTCGTTGTGAGATATCGTTGGGTAAAAAGTTCCGTTTATATACTTCATAGTTTCCGCAACATATGATTAGAAATATAAATACGGTTTATAAACAAAGATTTAGTGTGGTTTTCAATGAAAACACGTAGGTAGTGTGATGTGGCTCAAAGGGGAATTTCGGGGATTACTCGCTTCTGCAGTGTAGGGATACCATAAGACCTTATAACGGAACACTAAAGTCATTCACACACCCATGTAGTCAGACACAGTCAGTTTCTGGAGTTGAGCTTCGATGTTCTTTAATATTAAAACACGTGAGACACCCCTTGCTAGGTTATCGTGACGAACCGTCAAGGCCCGCACCTGGTATAATGTCCCAACGTCCCCCCACTCCCCATTTAAGCGTTGGCGAGAAGTCAGTTCACACCTGCTGGCACATGAATTCACACTACGTGGACAAATTGTAATGCAGTAACAAAGAAATTTGAGTCGGCGTGGGTTCCCACGCCTGCTTCCGTTTTCGCAGTGTGGTGTTAAAATGCCAGCATGATGCAAACATGACATCGGTATTTTTTCCTGTGGTTCGACCCGGAACCACTAAGCAGCGGATGTCTCACAAAGAGGGTTAAAATGTACATCAAGCGAATTAAGACGTAATATAAAAGTAATAAGGTAATATGAACTGAAAAAATTAAAAACGTCATATAGTCAGTAGCGGTTGAGTTCGGCGTCGTAGTGTTGTCAAAATCGCGTCGTCTGCAGGAGATGTTGTCGTCGCGGTCGCTTCGTCCTCCGAAGTAGTTGAATAAATACCAACTGTGAGAGTATTAGATTGAATAAAGGAAATATTAAAATAACCGAAATCATTGTAGAAGTATTCGATTGAATAAAGGAAATATTAAAATAACTGAGATAATTGTAAAAGTATTCGATTCAATAAAGGAAATATTAAAATAACTGAAATAATTGTAAAAGTATTCGATTGAATAAGGAAATATTAAAATAACTGAAATAATTGTAAAAAATATTTGATTAAATAAAGGAAATATTAAAATAATTAAACACCCTCCACCATTTTCAAAAGACTCCACCTTACAAAACTTGAAATACAAAATAGGAAAATTTGGATGCAAACATGGCAGTAGTGTGAAATTGGGTGAAAGACGAACGTTTTTATGTAACCAGAGGAACTTTTTCAATAGAGTAGGTATTCATGTACATGACTACTTTTTGCAGGGCGAGGGTCTGTAAGAATCGTTAGCGTTAAAGGTACAATTACATCTACAATATTTAAAAAGGAAACTTTATATCGATGACAGCAATAGAAATCGAATTTCTGCCCTCTGAGGGCGCTCGTTATCATGACCCTTTCATCATCTAGGGTCACTATCTAAAGCGGAAAAATAGACACCGACATTAAATAGGTGTCGTGATAAACGCACATCTGATGCCCGAGGACGCCGGTGTATTGCAGCGTTGGAAGTCTGATGCGTAAAGGGTACGTATCTTCCGGGACGCAATTTGACTAAGTTGAGAAGTGTTCGCTCGAGTAGTATCGACATTAGTCACTAAGAAGGCGGCGTCATGACATTTTGTATTGTGGGGTGGGGGGTCTTCTCACCAACCTCGCGCCGATCATTTTTGAAATCTGGACCCTCTGAAACGCTATGTTCTGCATTTTGAGGGGCAAATTTTGATTTTTTCGACTCGGAGGGGGCGACCGCCCCAGGGCCCTCCCTCCGTGCTACTGCCACTGAAGTCGTTTCAGAAGTCACAATGAGTGTTCACTGAAATTGCAAGCGTGAATGAAGATACTTGACACGGAAAGCTATTTATATACCCCCTTTGACGTCATTGTAAAATGTACCTGGCGATGCGTACGCAACCGATAGTAATTTGTCGCTCGTATTAAAAGACTTGTCAACATCGTTTACCATCACATGTGTGAACTTTGTGAACTAGACAGTCATCATGGCAGTTTAGAGACAAACACATCATCTAAATATAGACGCTGGCAATGAAAATGAACTCTGTGCAGTTGCTGGTGGAAAATAATTGGCTTGGTCATTATATTCTCATTATAATAGCTAACAATGGCACGGTGTCGTCAGATTCACACACCTTTCTTTATTAGTTGGCACCCATTTTTTATTGACTGTGGCCTCACAGAGAATTAACACAGGGCTTCGTTCGTACAGCACTGGGTCTAACTTTATACAAGTTACGCCATAGCATTAAAGAGCCACGCATATACACAAAGATGGCGACTTTGGCTGTTGTGCAGATCAATGAGTACAAACTGAGACGTTATCAAGCATTACTTAGGTATTTTCAGGTGATTGGAATGTACCGAAGGAGTCGCCGACCGTAATTAGCGCAAGTAGCGCCCAGGTCAAACCCCATAGTTGCGATTTCAATTAGAAGAGCGCATCGGATCGTGGGAAACTCAATGTTTATCAACTCAAATGTCGCACATGCACAGCGCGACGACTACCTCCCTTTAACCCTTTTGTTCTTATTGGTATATCAAACTTTGCAATGTTACCATGCTGTCAGATGGAAGTATTAGTGACATTGAAATTGAATATTAAAATAATTATTCCAATAATGTTTAGATTAATATATGTAATAAGGATATATGCGTTGTGAACTGTGACGTTTCCATCCATTAAATTCATAGTGAATATACAAAATTGATATCAGCACCCAACGATATCTCACAACGAGAATAGCCAATATATTTGATAAACTTTTCTGTTCATTTTGCGACTATTACCACCCTTTAAGTATCTAGCTCGTACAATCGCCGAGCTAGGCTACAGTGTAAGATGAACCGATTGTAATGTCCTTGTTTTAAGAAACGTGTTTCAAGCGACAGTTCTGACACCGAATATCATATGATTGTAGTCTCCTCTGATTTTTTTATAAGCAAAGTGAAGTGCCCATGATGTATTTTGGCAGAAACATTCATAAAATGGGTATGTGTACACAAGTACGCGGCAGACGTATATTTTTTTAACAGTTTTTATAATATCACTGCCGTGTATAAAAATTAATTGTTGCTATTTCTGTCAGAATCATGTTTTGGAAGACTTTTTTATTGCTGGCAGTGAATCTTAACGTCCCTGTTATTTTGGTTTGAACCATGGTCAGTTCATGCATTTGTCACAAATACATTAAATTAAGAACGCATACTTTATTCAAACATTGAGATAAAGACATTGTGAAATTCTTTCGTTTTTATGCATAAAAAATCTATTTGTACCAAGTAAAATCATATTTTTTAAATTTGTTGTTCATACATGTGTTGTTGAACACACCACATAGTTTGTAATTTCATTCAGCTTCTTTCAGTCATATTTCACTAAAAGACAAAAATATAGAGAATATAGCAAATTATCCCTTATCTGTAATATTTTTGTGTAATCGGTATTCATGGAAATTATTTCGTTATGAATTATTCTGAATATATTTCTGCATTTTTTTTCTGTTTTTCCCCAAAAAACGAAAGAATTATCGTAGTGTTTTCAACTGTTCATTGTTACATGCTTCCGTTTCAGTAAATTGGATTGCTGTCATCATCGTGTGTATCCGAAGCAAGCAGTTATGAAGTATAGTACGTATCTACTTATATTAATATCCTGCTGCTTTGCACCGAATCTGGTCTGTGGCGAAATAGACGATTTGTATATTGCTGCTTTCAATGTAGAGATGTTTGGACAATCCAAGATGTCGGACAGTGATGTTGTCGATGTTTTGACACAGGTATACTAGCTGTTTTCCTGTAAAAAATATTTATATATATATATATATATCCGAAATGCGGTCCCTTTCCTAGAAAAGTAGTTAGCAATAGTTTTTATTGCGAAATTTCGATTTGAAATTAATTTTCATTGAAGTCAATATAATGGATTTAAAACATTCTTTTCAGCAACATGTCTCCAATACAATGACTCCACAAGCAGTGGCGATGGCGTTCGATAGTAATAGTGAAATAGATTTCAAGAATTTGTCGTAGATTACGTTTGTAAAGACTCTGTTGATGCACAATTAGTATTTTCCAACTGCTATATGTCCCAAGCGTTAATTACTGCTGTATAGGAGTCTATTTGTGACACGAGAATAAAAGTGAAAAGTGAATGAAAAGACACTGCATCTTG